TTTTATTAATGATCCATTCGTAGTATTTAATATTACATAATCATGATGCTGTGGCTCACGAGACTACTCTCGATAATATAAACGATGCGTTTCTACAATTATTTTTAAACCAACATTTTCTAATATATCATGTATGTCGTTGACTGTTGCATTATCTACGGTTTTTGTTTTTCTTGACACGGCGACTCAGTACTCGAGTTTTTTTTTGCATTTATATAAGCTAAAGAGATACAGACAAAAAGACAAGGATCAGAATGTACTGCAGCATTAGGAAAAAATGCTTGAGAATTACATTCACGTTGAGATAATGACGTATAACTTATAGCCATCTAAAAGAACAAAAATGTTTTCTCTCTATCTACTAAAGATGATATATTTCAAACAAACAAAAAAAAAGCAGTCATTCACATATATGAGCGCGAGAGAAAAGCAATAAGTACCGGAAGAAAAACAAGCAAGAAACATATATGCTTAATAGTTCATATGATCTGCATTCTCAGCTATCAATTGCAAAAAAAAAAATGCACGAATAACAAGATTTTTTTCATGTTTACAGAGGAGATTCTGGAATGAATAATATTCAGTAATGTTCTAAGATGACAATATATAAAAGTAGAAATAAACATCAAGAAAAAAACAAAAAATATCTGTATGTGTTATCATGTGAAGATTTCAATGCACAAAATAAGTAATAAATGACCTATATCACAGAATGACACACACATGTATGTATTAATTATTTCATAACCATTTAATATTTGATGTTCCTATTCGTATTATAAAAAGAATAACTAATAAAAGAAAATAAGTATGTGTCAAACAAGACGATGAATTATATGTTGGATCATAATAACGTGCAGATTGATCTTCTAAATTTATATTAAAATAGAATTAAAATATTTTGATCCGAAGAAAACTATTTACTTCTTATACTATATGAACTCATTACTTCAGTTGATCCTTTTGCACATGCATAATCTATTTTTTCAAGAGTTTCATTAAGAATTGTATGACTAATATGAATTAAGATAAGTGATGCATTACAAACATCAATATCAATATTATCTCGATTACTACGACATCCATCAGCAGTATCATCGAACATAAGAAGAATACCGGATGGTTTTACATGATCTGTTTTCACTGATAAAAAGACATTATCAAATTTTGATGATGATAATGGTGATATCGATGTTGGTTGAGATATTTCACAACGAACTTTTATTTTTTCACTTGCAGTACCAGCATTTGGATAGACAGATAATTGAAGAATTGGACTTTCATTTGTAGAACGATTTGACAGTTCAGTTTTTGATAATACCAAATCGATGACCGTCAGTAAAAGACAAACTAAAAATAGAAACTTGTTTTTATTCTCTTTGAAAAAAAAAAAAAGATCCGATGAATAGAGATGAAGTAGGAAAAAGATAATTTAATACTTCTTTAATATTAATTTGAAAACATATGTGCTTACTCGACTGATAATATATCATAATTTCATAGATCAAAAGAATATTCTTTTAGATGTCGTATTCTTTTTTTTTCTTACATAAGAAATTTTAATGCGAACAACAACACGTTCGTCTTACTAGTTCCACAATATGAATAGATAAACGAAAAAAACAAATACAAATATTTTTTCATGACATAATCTATTCATGTCTACGTGCTTTTTTATTTTGTTAATATTCACAATTGGAATTAAAAGTGTTTATCGTTAGAATTTTCTCTTGAGAATTTGATACAACAATGAAGCGATTAATCTCAAGTTAAGAGATTCTTATGTTAGTGTCTACATATATTTAAAGATAGAAATTAGAATGTCGACTTACCATTGAATAAATATAGTAGCAACGATGATGCCATTTCGTTGACGATGGCGCTTGCTGCGTTCTATTAATGAACGATTAATCTTCTAGAGAGAGAGAGAGAGAAAAAAAATCAAAGTAGAACTTCTCTTATTGTCTCTGACATTTATGCAAATGACTCGTCTGTATGTATGAATGTGTTTGGTACATTCACACATATCATTAAAAAATCAGCACATGCTGACTGACTTCTTGCCACATACTAGAGATATTTCCTGTATAGACACCGCCCTATTTTACTTACTAGTATATATACGGAGTGTGAAACCTTTGAAAAATGAATGAATATATTTTCTATTGAATGATGGTGAAGAATAATGAGTGTTCAAGTTTAACGTGCGATGGAGCAGAAGAAACGATGAGATGTGCTTTGAACAGGCGTATATGCACATTAGACAATTTGTGAATAAAAGTGGATTACATAAGACTGTTTTTTTCTTCGGTTTTTTTTTTCTGTATATGAATGTATTATGCTTCTTTCACACTTATATCCCGTCTTCAAAATGTTAACTAATGCAATAATCAAGTGGGGGGAGGGAGCTTTAGTGAAGGGCAAACGTACACATCAAATTGAACGACACAGAGAGAGAGAGAGAGAGAATAAAGAACGAGAAGCAAATGAGAGAAGAGTGACAGCGGTAGTCGATTGAATGATTAGAAGAAGCATTCATCGAATTTGTATTAAAGAGAAGTATGTTGTTCTTATATGGATTCTTGCTGTTATTCATTACTTTGCAAATAAGTATATAAATAAGGTGCCAAGCAACCGTTGTGGAATTATGTTCCATAAGTAAATATAACTATGAGGACAACAAATATTTTAAAAAAATGTAAATAACACCGATGAACATATAGAAGGTTAATCAATGACAACTAACTAACTGTATGTTAATAGAACAACATGCACCACAAATGAGTGACATACTCCAGATGACGAAGCATTTTCTAGATAAACTTCTATATACAACAGAAGGAAGAGAAAATTAATTGCTATTTACACAAGAAAAAAAAATATATGTATATATTACAGATTTACGTAATTGATAATAAAAAAAACAATAAATATGTGTAATCATAAGAGCACACAATAATTATACAAATCGATCGCTTCGAATAGAAACTCACTTATTTAGCTAATTCATATATTTATCTTTATATCTGCTTATATGTTAGATAAAAGGCTTATATTTATCTTTTTTTTTTGCTAAAATTTCTATGGAACTATCTAATAAAAATGTCGATACAATATACATTCACATGGTGCACATAGCTTTCTAACTATGATATGATTCACAAACAGTGCTTATTATCTGTTTTATAGGATCGATGAAGCAACAAAACAAAGTAAAAGAAAATAACGTCCTTATCCATATAGATATGCACAATGGAAGAAAAAAATTTTGACCACTCAGTCTGTATAGGTTGGTCAAAAAAAATAACCAATTAAAAATCAACTTACAACCACCACATTGGATTATGTCCATTAAAACGTGGTCATCTTTATATAATAAGTATTTATTCATCATATTTCATAACTTCTACCATATGTATAATATAGAAAATGGAATATATTAAATGTAATATTTTATTTATAAATATCTTATGAGTTGATAGTTAAAATTTGCATTGAAATTTCAAAAAATTTCAAGTCAGTGAGTATGTATCAATAAATAAATAAAAACTACTTTTTCAGCTTAAGTATGCATTTCCACTCATTCATAATGTTGCACCAGCTATATTTTGTATAAGTGATCTAATTAATATCGACGATAATTTCCTATTTCATTTTCATTTTTTTTGTTTGATTTCTCAACTATTTGTTTCTGCAACAATTCTGCTTAAATATTCAACTTGAATAAGAATAATTCAGAAGTCATAATCATTATAAAGTATAAGCGATAATAAATTTATTGAATATGTTATTTGATCTTCTTTTTGTTATAACTGTGATTCAAAATGAAGGAATGGAAACTTTATGACTATTATTTTTAATAACATTAAAAGACACCTAACATAATTATTGCAAGTGTCCTATTGGTTGGAGACATTAGCCGATTAGAATAAAACATAAATACCGCCATTTTGCGTTTAACTTCAGAAAAAAAAATAAATTTAAACTTGAATGCAAAAAGCACTTAAAAGTGAAATGTTAGTGAAAATTTAAGCTCTTCTATAATCACTCAGTAGGCGTAATGTTCACAGCTGATACAACAAGATGTGACTCATACATTCATGCTGTTTTTTTTCCTTGTCATTGACATTTGCTTATCTTCGTTTTTTTTTTTGAAATAATGCATCATATTAAATTTCGTTCAATTCGATATGATCTGATGAAATGGACCAAAAAAAAATCTGAGCTAAAGTCTACCATTGTTGATGTAATACGTTTAAGGTCGCGTTGATAGTGGCGGACTTTGGTACACGTTTTTTGGTTTACTGCATGGAACCATCCGATATTCGTCGTTTTTATTGTCAATACAGAAACTATTTCTCTTGTTCATCTGTAATTTTTTTCTTAAAATTCTTTAATTTTAATTCTAAAATTCATATTTATAGATTATTTGTTACAAGTAGTGAACTAAAACAAATTAATATTTATGATAATAATTTAATTTGAAAATCTCTTTGTTTAAAATAAACATTGACCTTTCTTTATTAATAGGTTCGATTTTCATGAATGAAACTAATTCTACTCTAATTAATACTAGTCAACAATTATTTAATGTATAACGAACTACTTTCATGAAATTTTCACTGGAAAGATGAAGAAAAAATCAAATCGAATCTGAAATTCTCCATAATAAATGTTCAACAAACATATTATTTATTTGAAAAAGACTAATAAAAATAAAGACAGATATATTAATATAAAAGATATTGAACTAATTTTAAAAGGTATAGATTCGTATACGATTATGAAAAATTCCATTTGGTATGAGTGATCAAAAACAAAAAACATAAAAATACAAATAACAATAAAAAAAAAATAGAAAATTAGATGTACATGTTTTTAATAGAAAATATTATGCAAAAAAAAAACACTTTTAAACAATTATACTTTGAATTTGAAATAAATCTTATTGGTTTTATCTTTAAGATTCTTATAACTATTGTTCTTATCTCTTGATTCACATGGATTTCGATATTGATGCTGTTCTTGATCAATTAGAAAAGACACGTAAGTATTAGTTTTATTTTACTTTTTTTTTTATTAAATCTTTTTTCTTTTTTTCTTGCAGTCAATCAATCAGATCATGAAGAAAAAGAACCAAATCAAATTATTCAAACATCTTCTATGCCTTCAACTTCTAAGAAAACAGCTGATGAACTACTTTTACTCGAACTTGATCCTCTTGGAAATCCAGAATATCATAATAATAATAATAATCAAGAAAATGATGATAAAATTGAACGTATTAAACAAGATCTTCAAGAATTGTATGCATCATCAATTGTGATTGATACACCATCAATGCCTACATCTACTTTACCTGATGTTATTGTTCAACAAGAAGAGAATTTATCAACATCATTACCATTTGCTGTTGAACAACTAGAATTTGAAGTACGACAAGAAATTTTACAACATACTCTTGATCAATCATCATCACCAGATTTAACAACTATGCCAAATAATCATCATGATGATACAAAAGAAACAGGTTTATTTTCAACATCATCAACGTCAACTGAAGAAGGAGAAGAAGAAGAAGAAGAAGAAGAAGAAGAAAAACCTTCATCACCTTTACCAGTAACCGAAACAGCACAAACATCAAATAATTTAATATATCAAAGTGAACCTGATCTTATTCAACATGAAACACCACCAGTAAAAACACCAGTGATTTTACATAGTGTTGATAGTATTGTCAATGCACCCATGGGAACTAATCTTGATGTAGGAATCTTTTATCTATTTTAATATGAATTATCTTAATCAATATTTGTCTCATTAGGATTTTATCACTTCTGATCCATCAATGAATGAGACGGCAACACTTCAGCAATCTTCTGAAATTTTCTTCATTGGCTGTAATGATAATGATGAAAAATCTATGCAATCATCATCTGAAGAACCTATAGGCGATAATGAAATACTTTCTTCTCCTATGACCAAATTAACAACTGCTGTACCTACGCAAGATTTTGATCTTGTTAAAAATATTCTATCTGAAATTTTTGATAAAAATAATGAAGAAATACTTGATGAAAATCCAATTGAAGAAAAAGAATCTGAACTAGTTAATATTGAACAACAAGAAATATCTCCACCACCAGCATCATTGACGACAAGTAATGATGAAGATTTTCGTTTTCTTGATGAAATGCTTGCAAGTATTGATGGACCCGATGTCGATATTCATCAATTAACTCCAGCTGAAATTGATCGAGTTGATAATATACTTAAAGAAATTGTTAATGCACATCAAACAGAAACAGTGTCATCATCATTATCATCATCACTAATTAATGACATTGAACCTTGTCCACCTCCATCTCCTCCTCCTCCTCCTCCTCCTCCTTCAGAACAACCACCATCACCACCAACAGAATCTGATCTTTCATATGCACCACAATCAGTAGCAGCTGCAGCTGAAGCTGCAGCTTCAACAGTAGTACCTGTCGATGAAGAATTGATACGTGTGGAACAAGAATGGTCTAAATTAACTGAAGAAGAAAAAACACTAGGTTCAGTTGCACCGGAATGGGTTAGCGATGATCAAGCACCTGTATGTATGAAATGTTCAGCTAAATTTTCAATAACGCGTCGTCGTCATCATTGTCGTGCATGTGGAAAAGTTTTTTGTTCAGCATGTTGTTGGCAAAAAGTTAAATTAATTCATGATGATAGTAAAGAAGATCGAGCATGTAATGATTGTATTAAAACTATTAATAATGGTATTTTTCTTTTTCTTTTCTATGATTTATTACGATTTTTTTTTCATTTGATATTATAGTTGAATATTTATGGAATTATATGCGTAATAATCAAAAACCTCGTTCATCTGTACTACGCAAAAAATCAGGTAAGAGTTTAAAACAAACATTATCATCAATGTACATTTGATGTTGATGATGGAATATTTTGTAAGATTGTTGTTGGATCAGTTTTGTATGGAACTGTGTAGTACCTTTAAGAAATCAATATTTAAATCTTTATACAATCATGTCCTAAAAGTCCGTTGGGAAAGTTTATGTGAAGATCTTCTATAGAATTAAATCGATTTAATAAAGTTTTTTATGATATATTAGTATACTCTTTGAAATTTTGTTCTGTAAAATATCAGACGAATCTTTATGTCCATAAACATTAGAATAAATACCGTTTTATTAATGACCGAAGTAAGTAGCGCTTATACTGCTTCTCCTCTGTTATTTTTTTTTAAGTTGCTTGTTTTTTTTGTGACTGTCCTGAGGATATGAGATCACTATACCAGAACTTGGATATTATTAGTTATAGCAAAAAAAAACAATGAATACTTTAGGAAGAAAATCACTTTCTACAAATAGTGACCCTTCTATTGTATTTTGACTTGTATCTCATCTATACTTGTATGTATAAGGATTAAATCTTTTATGCATATATATCTAAAAATTCTCTAGAAAATATAAATACAATTATCTTACAGAGTTACTTTATTAATAAATGCTGGTTATTATTAAAAAATATTCAGTGATACACTTATTTTTTAGTATACTGGAAAGATTGTTCAACGTATAATTTTGCAATGACTCACTATTAAAAAGTGAAGTTTTTATCATCAGTATTTATCAAAATAATAAAAAAAGAATAATGATACTCTTAACTATAGTTCGAACTATTGAAGAGAAAAGACTTGCACGGGAATCAAGAATTCACGCAAAGTGATTAAATAAAATGGAATTTTTTTTTTGTTTCATTATTTATTGTATCGCGAATGATGTTATGACATCAAAACTTCTGATTCAAACTTTTGGCTTTTCAGTATTAGTAATAAAAAAGTCATTATTTTTAGAACAGAGCCACTTCCAGGTGAAATACCAAAAACTCTACATTTGATCGCAAAACATTTCTCATTTTATTTTCTGTTCTATTGTTGTTTAGCTTTTTATTCATAAAACTTAAAGTTATATCTCTGTCCGAATAAAAATAGACTGGAAGTCTTTTCTAACAAAAGATACAGTTTCTAGTGTCTTTTTGTGTGCTGATTCCGAAAAGCATGCTTGTTTCCAATGAAAATTCATTTTTGACAATACCAATCTAGAAATACTAACTGTTTTGGGATATTTTATGTGGAAATGACTCTTTTTGGAAAAAGAACAGCTATTGCTACTAACACTAAAAATGTCCTATGTTTACCTATAGAATCTCTTATCGCTTCAAGTAAAAAATAATTAAACAAAAGAAAAAATAACATGAAATTATAATCCATGAAAAAACCACCACTTTCTTGGAGTCTCCTATAACTGTAAAACAAAACCTGCAAGTCAAATTTGGCAAAAGCATACTAAATGAACGCTGCATTTAAGTTATATTTCAACTCTATCAGGAAACTAATATAGAGGACGATCAAAAGCGTTCTGAAAGGCTCTCAAAGATTACAAAAAGAAAAGCCGATCAAGTTTATGATGTTTGTAAGCATGAATCATAATCAAATGTTCGAACTGTCGCTGTGACCTGCTCCATTTTACGAATCACAGTGTACTGATTTATGACTGAATACCTTTCATTGAAATCATATAAACTGAAATTTGTTCGTCGAATGGAACAGCTCGCTGTGCCAGTGCAAACACTCAATGGTGATTTATTCTTACAAACATCATGAATTTCGTTGAGTTTTTCTTCTATAATCTCTATCAGTTTCATAATAGAGTTGAAGTATAACTTAAATGTAATCGTCACTTAGTATGTTTTTACCAAATTTGACTTACACTTTTCGTTTCACAACTACAGCTAACTGAAATTGGTCCATAAATAAAACCGAATTGCTAGATTCGCCTAAGAAATATTTTACATTAACTCGCTAGGCAGACTTTCGAAACTCATTGTAGTATTTTATTTGGTTTTGAAATCTCTTACTCATAGCTCTTATTTGGTTCGGGCACAAAACCAGTAAGATTTGAATTTATATCTTGTTTTTTTTGGAATGCCAATGGTGTTTGTGTCTTAGTCACTGAGCAAGAATCATCTATATCTTTGTTCGATTTGATTGTTATATTTGATTTAACTTCTTTTATATTAGTAGTAGTTGTATTATTTTGTTGTTCTGACGGTATAAGTTTTGATAATGAAGTGTTGATTATATTATGATCATGATTAGGACAACAATATTTATCATGAAATTGTTTTTGTGTTCCGCTTAAGATTAATTTACTATTGTTAAATATATAAAGATCATTAAGATTTGCTTGTGGTTTATGATCTAAACGTTGACCTTTATACATGATAGTTTGATGACATTTTGGTACTTTAGTAAGTTTTTCAATCTCATCTAAAACATGTTCTACTCGAAGTTTATTGTCTTTACTTGATAATAATAGTTCGTATAGATCAGAACCATATTGAATTTGTAATTTGATATAATGAGACAATGTTGTATCAACAATAGAATTGTTGTTATTATTGAATGAAGTCATGTTTTATATAATGAAAAAAGAATAGAAATAGAGTTGGATAATGAATTGATAAAAATGATGGCGCCAGAAATAGATTTATTTGAATGATTTTGTTTCAAAAGTAAAACATATGTAAAAAATAAAATTTCTTTTTTGTATTATTCGAGTATTCTTTTCTGCATAGTGTTATTTACAAAGCTTATTTTATTCGGGCATAAAAAATGGATGGATAACAAAAGCAAGAGCAAATAGGTTGATATAGAAATAAAGAAAACATGATCTGTTCAATTAAAGTTATTCATATGTCATATGATTGGATTTAATTTGTTCGATTTGCTGTAATCATTGGTTCGTATCGTGTTTTAATTGGATCACCAATTAATCTCACTTGAGCATTATTATCAATGCCAGCATCACGTAATGTGCGATCTTTCATTTGTTGTAATTCTCGTCCACGAAAATAGAGTTTTTGACGTTGAACAGGAACAGTTGTTATACGTTCTAATTCTTCCATTAAATCCGTAATACGTAGATTATTTGAACTACGTAAAATAAGTACATGTCGATCGGAACCTTCAAAAAACAAAAACAAATATTTTTGATAAAAATCTACTTTTTTTTTGAATTAGAAAATTAAGATATATATACCATGAAATACTTCAATTTTAAGTACTTCCTGATTGGCACTGTTCTGCGTCAAATCATTGTTGCTGTTAGTATTGTCCATACGTCTTTTAAATTAAAAGAAGTAATAGATAAGATTTTCGAGTAATCTTCAATATTCATTCATTTACAATCTGTCTATGACAGCACTTTTCTACTTACCTTGGCGATGTATCATTTTGACCTCCACCACCACCTGTTGACTGAGATCCATCACCATAAAATGATGACGGTGCTTGTTGTCTTGTTGAATAATATTCATTCGGTGGTGGTTGCGGTTGCTGTTGCTGTTGATTATTAGATCCTGGACCTCTGTACCAAAGTGAAATAAATGCATTATTAACAACTCCAAGTGAATCAAGTGGAGCATCAGGTGGATATTGTGTTAAAGGCATTCCATTATACGTAATATTTTGATCAAGAATTGGTATATTGAAACGTTGTTGTAATTCGACTTGTAAATCATAAAGTGTTATTGGATGTGGTCGACCAATGGCAAGACCTTCAACTCGATCACCAAGACCAATTTGTAAATTAAGAACAAATGTAGGAGCAACAGGAGCTGCTGTATTTGGATTTGTCAATTGTTGATAATAGTTGTTAGCACTAAATAAAGGCTGGTTAGTAGAAAGCAAATAGCAGGTCAATTCAAGGTTAAGATTTATTTATCGCAGAAAAAAAAAAATAATAATAAATAAGAGATATGTATTATTCTGGACGATAATAAAAATGTCTAAAGCAAAAGGATGTAAAGGAAGGGAAAAAATTCCATCAATATAACTTATTCGATAGAAGAATTGTTGAACACTTACGATTCATGATGACAACAACAACTACAATTGTTATAATGTCCATGAGCGCATGTACTGTGAGAATAGAAACTGCATTTAGTAAAAGAAAATATGTTGTTGTCATTTTCTTTCTTTTTATTGTATATTACTTTAAAATGTCTATTCTGTTAAACTTTTTTTTTTTTACTAGACAAGAAAAATTGTACTTTATGTACTTTTCTCAATGGGAAAAAAGAAAACCTTGCATTTAAATATCTTACCGTGGACTAGTGCCAAATTGTTGTTGTTGTTGTTGTTGATCATACATTGTAGGGTAATTGGAATAGGGCTGTTGCTGTTGTTGTTGTTGATATTGAGGATAAAATTGTTGTTGTTGTTGCTGTTGTTGATAAATATCATTTGATGATGAATATTGCTGATCAGATGTTGCATAAGAACGTACTTCTCGTCGTCTATTTTGTTGTGCTTGATCATCTGCTCGACAAACACGCATTTGATGATTATTTTCAATTCCTAATGTTTCCAAAAGTTCATTTGGTGTATCACAAATATTTCGTCCCTAAAATAAATTCAATACATAAAAAACTAATGAAACTATTATTAAATTATAAAAATTTGATTTACCTTCCAGTAAAGAATTATTTGATCAACAGGCATTCTAAATACTTTTGATGCATCTTCTTGAACATCACGCACACGTAAATCATAATTACGTTTAACAACAAATGTTTGTCGATCGGAACCATAAGCTGCTTCTAATTTAATCACTTTACGATCTTGTCGACGAGCCATTTTCTTTAAAAATTTAAAGTACAAAATTAATATAACGAAAAAAACAAAGAACTTTAACAGAATATCCTACGTGATCAAAGAAGCTTCGTCTATCTTCGCTGAAAAGCATGGTGCGGCCTTAGTGAGTGTTTTATGTGTATATGAATATTTGATAAGTGATATCACTACTACAAGTTTGACTTTCATTTTCCTTTGTTTCAACATACCTACAAGTATTCGATTTCTT